GTTTGGGGTTGTTTTTCTATTCAAATACAGGCTCTTGTGCTCTGAGGCCTCAAGAATTTCCCAGTTCACATGAAATGCCCTTTTGTGGGAGATGAAAGAGTTCAGGGCCATCTAAAACCTGCTGTTGCCTTGCCCCAGATTAACTTTGGCCGAGATTTTATTTGGGTTCAGAGCAGAAAACAAAAAGAAACGCTTTTCCTCAGCTCTGTATCTCCCCTCAAAGTTCTCACAACCACTGCAGACATGCCTTAAAGACCACTAAAAAGGGTTATGGGAGCTAAGGAATCACCTGGATTCCTTACCACCTTCAAAATTTAGTGCTCTCCCCCTTTATTTTACCTGGCTTTGTTCAAACACCTCCTCTAATCCTTCTGCTGTCACAACTTTGTACCTCCCCCCCGTCCAGTTAAAGAGGTGAAAGTGTCTCTATCATCAAGTTCTGACAGGATTATTTGAAACAGAGATCCAGCCTCATTCCAAACCTCTTGCATTGTGTAAGTTTATTTGCTTTATCTCCAGGCAGTCTGGACTTGCCTATCATGTGATAAGGTCTGGAGATCCCCCCCACATTTCACAGAGCTTTATAAATTAATCTGTGTCACCTGCACAGTGCAGAGGCAAAGGCTGCACTTGCAGAGCTGGTCTGGCATGTCAGGACTTGAGCTGCTCAGAGCTGGGGAGAGGAGCCCACAGGGCAATATTTGGACACCTGGGAAAGAGCCAGGTGGGTCAATTCATCCAAAATCCAGGTTGGAACAACCCTCTGGTGTCGGGTCACGACAGACCCCCGAGCACGAGGCGCAAGAGGTGCGACAGAAACAATCAGCCTGGAGACACAGGAAATAAGGTGTTTAATAAGTTAATGCTGGGCTTTCCTAAATATCCACCTGTCTGTCCCCAGGGAGTATGAGCAGGGAGGCACCTGCAGTTGAGAGCTACGAGATAGTTTATCCACGGAAATCGCGCTCGGTGCACAGAAGGAGCACACAGGTACCAGAGGAGAGATGGTTTCGTGGGGCTGGGAGATGGGGAGGGCTTTCTGGAGTCAGGAGACCCTTGGTTTTGGAGGCTGAGGGGACTTTGGAGCCAGATAGTTGATAGCTGACTCTCCAGTTGACCTGGAGAAGCGGTGCCATGCCGAGTGGAGAGGAGCTGTGAGGTGGGGCACGTGCAGTGACCGTCAGTGGGTCTTTCAGGACCTCAATCTCTGCAGAGATGTTGGCTCTGCCACCATTCAGATCATCGACGACCTCCAGACAATTCATTTTGAAGCAAATCAAAGCAAAGGCTTAAAAGCACTGATGGTTTTAGGCGCTTCCAGAGGGTGTTGTGGAAGTGTTTAAAGCTAAGAATTCACTCCAGCGCTTCCCCAAATAGCTTCTGATGGTAGGAGTGAACCTGCAGAGTGAAATGCCTTCCTCTAATTAAAAAATATGAGACACAGTGACCTCCTGCTTATCCTGGTACTGCCAGAGCTCTTGTTTTTGGTGGGAAGAGGAGGAAAAGAGCACGGGCTGGCAGGTCAGAAGTTAACAGGCAGTTAACAGGCAGTTCAGGCCAGAAGTTGTAGCAGTCCATATTCTAACACTTCAATCTGTTTACAGACCAAATATGTTGACACAGTGGAGTATGGAATCAAAGCCAGTGGCCAGGAAGTCGTGCTGCAGCTACGAAAAAATAAGTAGGTTCAGTTCAGCTCCTTCCTTGGGTGTTTTTCCTGCCTCTGAATGACTGTGGGGTGTCCAGGATACAAAAAAACCAGGATTTAGGGCCCTGTAAAACAGGGGTATTTCGGTAAAAACAACTTATTTCAGTGGCAGTGAAAGAAGAAAAGGGGGGAGAAGCATCATGGCACTGTTTTGGGAACATGAAATAAGGACTTGGACAGGAGACATTGCCATGGTGGAGTGACTTGCCTGTACCTCTGCTCTCCCATTTGTTTCCTAAATGGCCAGATCCTGGATTGTTTAATGTTTTTATGGTGTTCCCCAAGTTTTTCTGTGACCATGAATGGTCAGTGGCTTTTAAACTTGTAGCATGTAGTGACAGGCCAAGGGGGAATGGTTTTAAACTGAGATGCTTCTATATTTAAATAGCTATATATTAGATAGATAGACAGAGGTATTTACCTTAACACTTCTGGTGTTGGACTTGGAATAATCTAATATATCCTGGCATTGATAAAATGCTTCCTGGAAATGGAAAATGGGGAGAGTTCTCCTCCTTGGCTGCAGAAACAGGCATGGAAAAAGGCCAGAGGGGCAGGGGGCTTTTGTCACACAACAAAGAACACGAGGAGAAGCCCAAAATTGCACAGAACAGCACAAAATAAAGCCCAGCTGGGATTTTCTGGCTCCTCCACAATATTGAACGTGCAATCAGACAAGTCTGCATTAATAAGTGCTTTACAAAAGCCTGTGTAAATACGGTGGTGCCATAATCAATTCATGTTAAATATAGACTGTAATTAACTGCTTGCCCCTGTTTTAATCTAATCTAAATATTTGGAGTGGAGGGGAGGGAAAATATAATGGACTAAATCCCTTTTCTTTGAAGAGAAGTGGGATTGGGGCAGTTTGGGGCAGTGTTGCCCGAACGGAGGTGATGTGGATTTGCTTTGCTGCTGATTTTAGTTCCGATGCACAAAAGGCCAGAAAAAAGGATCAATATGCAATTACACATTTGCATTCAGATCTGCTGGGAGGTTAGAAATAAGAATTAAGGACTTTAATTGCCTTCTTCTTTAGAAGTCTCCCTTTGTTTGAGGAGGGACGAGGAAGGGGCAGAATTCCCCACCCCCAGAATTCCCCACCCCGCAGCTCTGCTTGCCCAGTTTTCTCGATACTAATAATAACCTGAGTAATTGTTTGAATTCCCCACATACTTGGTGTGTTGTGTAATCACCTCGTTTCTACCTGGGATAATAACCTGCCCTTGGTTGGCTCTTTGCAGGGATCTTTTAGGTCGAGATTACACTGAAACCGTTTATTCTGATGACGGTCGGCAAATAACAACAACTCCTCAGATCAAGGTAAATAAAGGAAGGCTTTTTCCCCTTGCATTTACAGTCTCGAGGTCCATACGATGGCCAGGAAATAATAGGAGATGTAAGACAGATAGGAAAGATTTTAAATCAAGCTTCTAAGCCTGCAAGGTAGGATGTGTCTGAAGGGACAGGGAAAGGGACACGGATTTATGGTGTTCTTGGATTCAGGGAAGAGAGGGGAGATAATTAATACCCTGGTGGTATTTTTCTGGGTGATTTGGGCCATGCATTTAAGAATTGGACTCGCTGATCCTGGTGGGTGTCCCTTCCATCTCCTGTGAAGATGGGACTCGTGGCTGGGGCAGAGCTGAGCGCAGTTTGTTCCCGTCAGGAATCAGCCCCACAGACACCACCTGTCCCCTCAGCGCTGATGAACAGCCTGTGAGTCAAACCCCTCCCTTCTGGCAGGACAGGGAGTGGAACCAGGGCCATCCCACTGCTTTCAACCTCCCCGCTGTGCCCTCCTGACCTCGCTGCTGGTTCACAGCCCGGGCCGGTGAGATCCCATAAATCCCCATTTCCTCCGGGCTCACCTTCCCACCCACGCTCAGCAGACGCACTCAGGTCACTCCAGGTGCTCTTCCAGTCTGTGACAAATCAGTTCTTCCACGCACACACAAAGGGGAGTCACCACAGGAAGCAATTTTTTAATTCACTCTGCACTGCTCGGGCTGATCTTCCACCCGAAGCTCCTCGTCCCGGCTCACCCCACGTGTTTGGACACTCGTGGGTGGGAACACAGAGCCTGGTTTTCTTTGTTAGCAGGACCAGGAGGATCTTGAGTGAAATAAATGTGCACAAAGATTTCTGGTTTGGGGATTTTTGGGGTTGTTGGGGTTTTTTCCCCCTCAATTTGTCATTGCTTTTTCCCCCCATTTGTCATTTCCCCCATTTGAAGTCTCTTTAATATAATACATGCATTTTAATCTCATTGAGGTTAATGCATTTAATTGCTGGCTTATTAAACAGCGTTTCCTTGAAATTTGGCCACAATAAAATTATTTGGTGTGGACTTTGTTTCAGCAGTTTGTGCTTAATTTGGAGCAGTGTGTGTCCATATTCTTATTTTTATGTGCTCTTTGTGTGTTGACCAGATCCCACCACAATTAATCGGTCACAATTTGGGCCACTCCGTGTTGAAGGATAAAAACAATGGTTATGGAATAATTTTTAAATTCATTTGAAGACCCTCCTAATGGGAGATTTCAGCCAGTGCAGTTTATGGTTGCTTGTCTTTTGAAATCACTGCCCCCAGGCCAGTTGGGTCAGTGGGACAAGGCCCAGTGTGACACTGGATTTTTCTTTTCCAAACAGGATCACTGCTTTTATGAAGGCCAAGTGGAGGGTGATGCTGAGTCCACAGTGAGCATCAGTACCTGTCAAGGTCTCAGGTAAGGGGAGCTTTGCTTCCCAAAGGCACAATAAGAATATATATTTTCCATATAAAAAGAATCAGGATGGAAATAAGTCATGTGATCTTTTATTCAGGCTGACAAGGAAACCACTTTACTGAAGAAGCAGGGAAAGAAAGGGGGGAAGCTCCTCAATTCCTTCCAGTATTTCAGCTTTTCATCTCAGCCAAGGATGAAAACACCTTTGAATTCCTCAAAAATTCACTCTTCAACCCCCTCTGTTAGCACAAACCCCAACAACTGAAATCAAATTCATTCCCACACCAGCTTCTTTTTGCTGACAGTCTCCTCCTCAGAGTCTCCACCGAGCACCCAAACCTTCCACCCCACTCAGCAGCTCGAATTTCTGATTGTCTGAGGGCTGCCAGAACATCCCAACGCTGCACCTGCCTGGGACAAACGCTCTCTTGAGCCAAAAAAAATCACAGTCCATCTCCTTTTTCAGTGGCTACTTTGAGACCCGTGGCCAGAGGTACCTCATTGAGCCCCTGGGAGCCTCGGACAGGGCAGAACACGCCGTGTACAAATACGAGGCCCTGAACCAAGAGCCCGTCAAGACCTGTGGCCTCACCAACAACACCTGGGAACAGGATTCCAGCGACCCCATCAACGACATCTTCAAATCCAGCAACAGCCCAGAGGTGAGGACAGGGTTAAACACAGCCAAAACTCGGATTTATGGCAGAGGAGGAGCCCAAATCCCACTATGCCTGCTCATTGCAGACAGTGAAGAACCATCAGGTTTTAAAAAATCAGAGTTAACCCCCTGAGTTAAACCCTCCTCCTCTACCAACAGGTGCCCATGTGCACCTTTACACACCTAAATACTTATTAATATCCAAGCTGACCTTTCATAATCATAATAATTTTAATATCTAACTGCTTCTTGTCTTTTAAAAACGTGACAGTCCCGCTCCAAATGACCTGACCAAAGAAATATCTTCAATAACTGATAGATTTGAAGTTGGAAAGACTGAGACTAAACCAGGCCATTTAAATCTCTTATTTCTTTAGATGAAAGAGTATCTGAAGGCAAAAAAATACCTGGAGCTCTACATAGTTGCAGACAACACCATGGTGAGTATTGGAATTATTTTCCAGGATAGATATTGCTTGTTTCTCTGGGCTCCTGCTACAGCTCCTTTGCTTTACCACTGACCTTGGGTGGGAGAAGGGTTTTGCAGCACCATCTTCTGTGGGATACTGATTTTCTGAGAAATCCCCTTTTCCCCTCTCCCTTTTCCTGACGTTCTGTGTTTACATTTTAGTACAAGAACCGTGATAAAGATGTTAATGCTATCAGACAGAGGATATTCGGAATAGTCAACTACATCAACACGGTAGGAGCCAACCAGTGACACTGAAATGCAGCTCTTTCCTCTTGCAAACGTCACAAATTTCCATTATTTTATGTAGGAATGAAAGAAAACTCAACTTCATTGTAATTTAAGAGGCAAATTTAACACTTGTGTGTGTGTTGTGCCTTCGGACACGAGATTTTTATAAAGAAAGATTTAAACTGAACATCCTTATCACTTGTTGACTGAAATCCCTCAAACAGAATAAACTGATCCTCGATTTCTTTAGCAAGCCAGGCTTCCTCCAAAACTGCTGGCATTTTTAAGCCTTTTTAAAGCTGATTTAAATGTAGGGGGTGGGATCAGAATTCAGGGTTGATTTTGGAAGGGATTTGTGGGCGGAAAAGCCGCAAGCGAAGAAAATCAACCCCTGAGCGGGGGAACAGGGCCCGAATTTTCTGAACCGAGTTTCTTCCCCAGGTTTACAAGGCCATAAACATCCACGTGGCTTTGGTGGGCCTGGAGGTGTGGACGGACGGGGACAAGTGTCCCCTGAGCAGGAACGCCGGGCTCACCCTGGACGCCTTCGCCAAGTGGCGCCGCTCGGACCTGCTCAAGAGGAAGAAGAACGACAACGCTCAGCTCATCACGTGGGTGGTGCCTCTCCTTGGGCCTTTAGTCCTTAAAAACTGCTCCCCAGCCACAGGCGGGGCTTGTAACTTGCCTGGATTTCATTGGTTCCGGCGCCGCTTCGTACAAATTTTAGGGCAAAAATTAAAATTAAAGTGTTTTTTTTGGGTGGTTTTGTTTTTGTTTTGTTTTGGTTTTTTTTCCCTGGAGAGGGAAAAGATTGTATTTTTAATTTGTTTCCTGATTTTATAGTTTTATTTTGTATTATTTATATATTATTTATATTTTTATATTTATAATGTAGTATATGTTATATTTATATTCTATACATTTATACTATATTTTTATATTATATTTAATATCTATATAATGTATTTTATATTTATATTACATTTACATTATATATTTATTTTTATTTTATACTTATTTTTATATTTAATATTTCTATTTATTTTATATTTTATATTTATATTATATTTATTATATCTATTATCTATACTGTAAATGGTATATATAATATAAATTATATTTTAATATATATTATATTTTAATATTGTATATTATATTTCCATAATAATATTTGAGATATGCATCACTTATTTAATATATATTATATCTAATATGTCCTTATATACTGTAGTAGGTCTGGGATGCAAACCAGAGCTGGCAGTGCTTAAACCTTGAGCCTGGTCAGGAAACACTTGACTTCAATCTGCATCGTGGTGACATCACTGACCCCACTCTGCTTCCTTCTCCTTTCCAGGGGCCTTGACTTTGAGGGGACAACGATTGGATTGGCCTTTCTCAAGTCCATCTGCAGTAATTTATATTCTGCAGGTATTATTCAGGTCTGATTGATTTTTATTTTATTTTTTTTTAAAGCCTTTTATGTGTGGTTTTTTTTGGTTTGTTTTTTTCTTTTTTTTTCTGAACCAACAAAGGCCATTGATGAAAACTGTTGGGTTTATGGCACTTTTTCATTTATATTCCTTATATATTTATATTATATTTAGTCTAGATATATCTATATACATCTATCCATATATATTCTACCTATATTCTATTTATATCTACATTATATACATTCTATTTATATCTATATAGATCTATCTATATACATTCTACTTATATCTATATTCTATTTATATTCTATACATTCTATTTATATCTCTATAGGTCTAGCTATATACATTTTGTTTCTATCTCTATTTATATCTATTCTATTTATATTTACTCTAGCTATATCTCTATAGATATATCTCTATCTCTTCTATTTATATCAATATTGTATTTATAGACAGACAGACATTCCCTAACCCAGAACCAGCAGCGGAACAGCTGCCCACAGGGATACACAATTTCCCTGGAGCAAACCTGTGCCGTTTCACCCTCCCCCCTGAGCTCCTCCCTGTCGTCAAACACTGACAGCAGCTCGTCCCTGTCCCCCCCTCCAGGACCACAGCAGGAACGAGATCGCAGTGGCAGCCACGATGGCCCACGAGATGGGGCACAACCTGGGCATGAGCCACGACACCGAGGCCTGCTCGTGCAGCGATCACATCTGCATCATGACAGACACCGTCAGGTGAAGGCCCAGGGTGGGGGGGCAAAGGGGCACTCTCAGAAGTTTCCGAAATTTTTGGCCTCTGAGATCTGCTAAATTTTATTTCTAGATTTTCCCCTTCATTTTGACATTTTGTTTCCACGTTTTAAATTTCGTTTGCCGCGTTTTCCCCCCTATTTATTTTATTAATGTATTTTATCCCTTCGTTATTATTTTTTTTTATTGTGTTTCCATCTGCTCTCTGTATTTGTTAATAGAGATAACTGGAAATTATGTTAACATTAATAGAGATAGTTGGAAAAATGGTTTGCAGCTGAGTTTTGGGGATGGTCACTTGGCTGATTTCTGTCACCAGTTGAGTTTTTCCCACTGTATTTCTCTCTCAAAGGGGATTTGTCCTCCTTGCCTACCCCAATCCCAACGTAAACCCTCCGGATCTCTCCCCGCAGCTCCTTCATTCCCAAGGAATTCAGCTCCTGCAGCCTGCAGAGCTTTGAGAAGTTCATGCTGGCTGAGATGCCGGAGTGTTTGACCAACGTGCCCGACCTGGGCAGCATCATCGCCCCTCCAGCCTGCGGGAACGGCTTCCTGGAGAAAGGGGAGGAGTGCGACTGCGGCACCCCCGAGGTACCTGCTGATGAAACAGCCCTTGGGAAAGGCAAAGGGGCTCAGCCAGGCTGGGCTCTGCCCCTCTCTGGGGCAGGGAGATCAAATCTAGCTGTAGGATTAACTGTGCTCGTCACCTGCGGTGTCCCCGCGGGGGGAAGGACGAGGCCCTGGTTTGTGGGGCTCTGGGGGACAGAGGAACTGAGAGTCACGCACAAAGCCACCCCCACGTCACTGGCCCAGCCAGTTCCCTGCCCCACTTCCACCAGCAGCAGCCCCACTCCGTGCCCTTCCCACGTTCTTCCCAGGGGCTGGGGTGGCTCCCTGGGAAATGCTTTCCAAGAAGCAAAGTGCAGGTCCAAGACCCCCCTGGTGAAGGGGCTGGGGGCAAGTGCCAGAGCTCTGGTTGTTGTTCTGTCCCAGGAGTGCACCAATGACTGCTGTGACCCCGAGACCTGCAAGCTGACCTCGGGGTCTGTGTGTGCCCATGGGGAGTGCTGTGAGAACTGCCAGGTGAGACCCCTCCCCACCCAGCCCTTCCTGGAGGAAGCAGGGACAGCTTTCGATGGGATCAGTCCCCTTCAGTTGTGCTGACTGACATAGCACTGTCATGGGATCACGGAATATCCTGAGCTGGAAGGGGCTCACAAGGATCAGAGTCCAACTCCTGACCCTGCACAGACACCCCAACAATCCCACCCTGTCCCTCAGAGCGTTGTCCAAACCCTCCTGGAGCTCTGGCAGCTTTGGGGGGCCGTGACCAAACCCTGGGGAGCCTGTTCAGTGCCCAACCACCCTCTGGGGGAAGAACCTTTCCCTGAGATCCTGCCCTGACACAACTCCAGCCATTCCCTGGGGTCCCGTCCCTGTTCCAATTCCCACCCACCCTTGCGTGTGATTCTGACTCTGAGGGCTGGCTTTGCTCTCCCATCCTCAGTACAAGAAATCAGGAGCAGTGTGCAGGGCGGTGAAGGACGACTGTGACCTGGCCGAGATGTGCTCTGGGAGCTCTGCCAGCTGCCCCTCCGATCGATTCCGGGTCAATGGGCACCCCTGCAACTTTGGAGAGGGGTATTGCTACATGGGCAAGTGCCCCACCAGGGACAGCCAGTGCAAGGCTGCCTTTGGGCCACGTGAGTAACACCAGCACTGGGATTGGGGTGTCCTGGGACAGGGAGAGAGAGAGAAGGAGAAGGAAAGAGAGAGAAAGAGAAAAAGAGAGGGGGAGGCTGAGACTACAAATCCTCCAAGACCTTTTGTAAATCAGGAACGGCATATCCTAGGTAAAAATAATCCCTAATTTCCACCGTGCAATAATTATATCTCACACGGCTGTTATTTTTATGTTTGGCACAGTTAATATTTCGATATTTTATTTCCCACAATTCTTGTTGCCGTGTCCCGGGCCGCGTGCGATGGGAACTCGGAGCACGCGATGCAGTTGGGTTTCCAGAGAAATGGGAAGTGGGGAGAGGATTCCTCTGTTGCACAATGGCTTCGAGAGGGCTGGGATGGAGCTGGGGAAGTATTTTTGGCCGCAGAAGAAGAGGAAATGTCTGCCTGTCAAATTAACATCCAAATTTGGTGTGTCTTTCTGCTGCTGACAGCAGTGTTCTGTAGAACCACAGAATGGTTTGGGTTGGAAAGGAGCTTAAAGATCATCTCATTCCACCCCCTGCCATAAGCAGGGACACCTTCCCCTAGCCCAGGCTGTTCCAAGCTGGCCTTGGACACTTCCAGGGGTGTGGCAGTCACAGTTCCTCTGGGAATTCCATCCCAGCTCCTCACCACCCTCACAGGGAAGACTTTCTCCCCAATATCTAATTTAAACTGCTCTTTTTCATTTTAAGCCCATTCCCTGTGTCCTGTCCCTCCATCCCTTGCTCCAAGTCCCTCTCCAGCTCTCCTGGAGCTCCTTTAGCCACTGGAAGAGTCTCTCAGGTCTCCCTGGAGCCTTCTCTTCTCCAGGCTGAAGTGCCCAAGACTCACCCAGTAAAATCAGCAGGCAGGGCCATTTCCTGAGCAGGTGAAGGCAGCGGAACACTCTCAGCTCTCCCAGGCAGAGCTCCCAAACTCACTCCAGGGCCTTTTCCTCTCTCCCAGAGGCCACGGACGGGGCACCCTCCTGTTACCTCATGAACCACAGGGGGCTCTACTATGGTTACTGCAGGAAGGAGAAAGGGAGCCACGTCCCCTGCAAGAAAAAGTAAGCCCTGTGTTCCAGAGTTTGGGATTTGGGAAGGAAAAAAAAAAATAACAAAAAACCAATTCCTGCTCCAGTGAAGAGACAAAATCCAGGCCCACCCTAGTTTAGATGTCCCCTCCTGTTCACTCTACTGGGAATGCCAGTTCTAAGAGAATCAGGTTTGGATCACAAGGGGAAGGAGTAAATGTGGGCAGAGGTGTGTGCAGACCTGCTGGACAGGATGAGAATGTGTGTGTGTGTGTGTGTGCAGGGAAACTGCAGGGAAGGGATTTTGGGATAGGGAATGTGCACCTCAGAAGTTAAGGGATACCAGCTAAACACTTGTTCCTGCACATCACTCCCCAGCAAGCTCAAGAGGAATTAAGAACCTGTCACCTGCTCAAACCACGCAACACCACAAGCCCAAGTTCCCCCCCTTCAGCTGTTTACTTGGAATTCAAGCTGGATGTCCTTGTTTGAACAGCTCTTCTTCTCCTTCCAGAGACAAAATGTGTGGGAAGCTGTTCTGCTCCGGAGGGAGGGAGATGCCTCGGGAGGGGAGCCTGGTGACCTTTGATTCCTGCAAAGCAAGTTTTTCTAAAACTGGAGACGAGGACCCCGGGATGGTTCTGGATGGGACCAAGTGTGGCAATGGGATGGTTAGTAGGGAGTAGCTTTTCTTTGTATTTTTTCCTCCTTTTTCAGCCTTTTTAAACAGAGAAGGCTGAGCTGGCACCAGACTTTCTCTACATCTACCCCAAACCAGGAGCAAAGCAAACAGGAACTTCCATAATTCCAAATTCCTTAGGCTGAGCTGCTGCCTCTTTTATTATTTTCCTGACACAAACACACATGGCAACAGAAACCCCCCTTTATAGGAAGGGTTAGAATACCCCAAATGTATTACTACATCTAATGATTCCCATCCTGGATGTGCCAGGAATCTCTAAGTGCTATTATTCCTAATTTCTTTCCTCTGTCTTTCTTCTTGGAAGGGGAGGGATGAAGGATCCAGGAGGGGTGGGAAGCAGTGATGTCTGTGCTGTAAAACACCCAAAGCTCAGCTGGGTGTTACCAAACCCCTAAAGGGGGTTTAAGTGATTTCCAGAGGTGTTCCCACGTCTCCTTGTGCTCTTCACCACTTCACCTCTGCACCTTCTGGAAGCTCTGAATCCCTCTGGGAACCTTTCCTTTCAGGTGTGCAGCAATGGAGAGTGTGTCTATGCTGAGGACGTCTTCAGATCAACCAACTGCTCTGCCAAGTGTTCTGGACACGCTGTAAGAGCTGAGATTTGTTGCTGTTCCCTTTAAAACTCCCCAAAAAACGATGCACATCAGCTGCACACCTTATTGCTGATGGCACTCAAGTCACTGGGAGAGGAATTGGTAAAAATTGGGGACTTCCCAGAGCCCCCCAGTGACAATCCCAGCTTCACTCCCCTTTCCAAGCTGAAGGTGTTTGTCATTCCCCAGGTGTGTGACCACGAGCTGCAGTGCCAGTGTGAGGAGGGATGGGCACCACCCACCTGTGACAGCTCCTCAGCCTTCACCAGTAAGCGCTGCATGGCCACGCTTCTTACACCACTAATTACATCCCCCACTGCCTCATCCACGTGTTTTCTAAACACTTCCAAGGGTGGGGGTTCCACTGCTCCCCTGGGCAGCCTTAACACCTCTTCCACTGAAAGAGGGAGAAGACTTTGTGGATAGATTTCCATCTGTCTGGGAAAAAAAAAATACACAACCAGCCTTTATTTTATTTATAATATAAACGTGTTTGTCCTCTCCCCACACTCACCAGAGCACCATCAGCTCTGAACATCAGGGTTTGGTTGAAGGACAGCTGTGAAGGAAACCTCACTTGGGGATCTCTCTCCAAGCTCAGGGATTCTGGGATGTTTAAGGACGGTCTGTTGTCTCTCCCTGGCAGGCATTGCCATCGTGGTGGGGGTGCTGGCTGTGCTGGCTGTCACAGCGACTGCAGCCGTGCTGCTCATCCGCCTCCGAGTGGCCAAGGAGAGGTAAAGCCTTCCCTACTGACCGAAAAAAAAAAAACCCAAAGCAAAGCCAAGGAATACCTGGATGGGTTTAACTTCGAGTTTTCAAAGGGGGGGAGGGGAGGGATTAGAAACTGAAAAGCCGAGGAACTACTCGAGCTTTGCTGAGCTGTTCCAGTATTCTCATATTTGGGAGAGGATGGAGATTAGAAATGCAGGATTAATCAAGATTAGTCCTTAATAAATGAGATAAAAAAGCAGGGCTGTGGCTCTGCAGTAAGGCAGGCATTCAACTGCAAGTCTATTTATCATATTTTCACGGTGTGAAATATTTTACAGCCACCAGAACAGGAGGGGACCTGGAGCCACCAACCAAGTCTTTGTGGATCAAGAGCAGAGGTGCAGGGAACACCCAGGCCTGGCAGTGCCCACCCAGAAGGTGAGGGCAGGGGGGGTGCTGGGACCAGCTGGGTCTCACTGGGACTGTCCCAGCCACCAAAACCCATCAGCCAAAGTGGGCTCCTCTTCCTCGAGGGTCCCAAATGCTCCTCCAGGGCTGAGAGGACGATTCTGGGAATGCCAGCAGGGATTGGGAGTGGGGAAAGCAGGGGGCACTGAGGCCCTGAGTGACCTGGGTGCAGTAAAAGGGACACAGGGCTCCATCCCATGGTATTTTTCCCCGTTTGCAGGCGAATGGGAAGAAACTCCTGCTCCCTGTGCCTCCACCTCAGGAGAACAAACCCCAGCTCCAGAGTGTAAGTACTGCCAGGGAGTGTCTCTGCTTTCCTGGGGGAGACATTCCAAACCAGTGACCATCTTCCCCCAAAGGCTGGGGAACCCCTGAGCTGCAGCCAGGGATTTCTTCCACCAGCCACATTCCCACGGGGAACACAGGCATGCACAGTGGGGGTAGAGAGTCAAGATGTTTTATATCCTGTTTTTTTTCCAGCCTGCCTTAAGGCCTAAAGGTCCCCCACCTCCTGTTCCTTCCACCAAACCAGGCTCATCTCACACAGAGGAGAAGTTTGTAAGTACAGCCCTGCACTTCTCACACCTTTCCTCAGAGTAGCAAATGATTGCCAGATACCCAATTTCCAGTTTCTGGCCGTGATTTAAGGCAAAAATTAAAACTCACAGCCATTCAAACCACATGTTCTTTAAGTAAAGAGTCGCCTTTTTGACCACAAACTGCACCAGATACTCTTTATCTGTGCCAAGGAGTCCTCTCAGCCATCACTGTGTCCTCTCTCAGCAGCACAAGCACAGGGGGTTGAAAGCCACAGGGATTTGGGGTGTCAAGGCATGCAAATGAAGAACAGATTTGCTCCTCCAGGTGTCTGGGATGGTCCCTGCGTTGCAGAGACCTGCTGGGCTCTGCCCTCAGTGTGTATTTTGAATTGTTAAAAAAAACCCTGGAAGCCAGAAGAATGTGAATATTTGTCATTAATAAACCCAGGGAGATGAATCCACTTCCCCTGAAGCATTTCCACTAGGAAATGTTGCAGTAAATACAGGGGAACACCTGAGGTTTGTGGAGGTTCTGCAGCTGCTCAGACAGGAAAACCCAGAGACATTTAAACTCCTTTTTTTTTCCAGGCACCGGAGAAAAAACCTCATCTGCCAGTCCCCAAAGGCAAACCTGCACCTCCACCAAAGGTAACTAACCCAAGTTCCAGTGGGAACTGCAATCCTTTTGGGATGTCATTCCTTGAAACAGCCCCAGGCACCACCTCTGATGTGTGATTTAACTCCTTCTTTTCCACCCAGGCTTTGAAACCCCCAATGGATCCCCGGGTCTGAAGTTTCTGACACAGGGCTGACATTTCCAGGATCATCTTCCTCTTCTCCTTCCAACAACAACAACGGACTGGCAGCTGCTTGGAAAGGAAAGGGTTGGACTTCAAGCAGTGAGGAACACTGTGGTGATGCCACAGAGCTCCTGCCCAAGAGGAGAGGAAGCACAATCACTTATTTGCACTGAGGTGTGGACTTGGGAGTGGGTTACAAAAGCTGCTTTAGCACATCCCAACTCCTGGGCCGGCACCCACACTGCCCTTCTGGGCACAGACCTGAGGGGCTCAGGGAATGTGAACTGTTGGCTTTGTTCTGCTCCATTTTTGGATCTCCTCCTCTCCCTCCTCCACCACCCACCAGGCCTTCTTTTCAATCACATGCCAGTGATTGATGCCAGTGCTGGAGGAAGACAAACCCTCCCTGCCCTCTGGAGAGGAGTTGGTGTCCTTGAGGTCTGAACTAGGCGTGGCATGAGTGAGATGACCTGCTGGAGAAAGGAACTCGCCCTGGATTCAAAGTAGTCAAGGTTTTTATGGAGTTTCCAGGGAGAACTGGATTTAGGTTTGGAGCAGGATCACAATCAGAGCACGGATCCAGCTGGGTACACTGGGACTCAGGAAGGCTGTTCCCAGCCCTTGGGCTGGTGGCTTTGCTGCCAAATTCCCAAATTCCTGTTATTTCCAGTGACCCTCACTGAGCCCTCACACTTCAGACCCACCATCTCTGATACAGAAATCCATTTAAAACTCCAATTTCTCCCCTTGGCCTGGGCTTTGTCTGAGTTTTCCAAGCCCTGCAGAACACAGGTGTGATGGAATTCCAGTCTGGTTTGAGGAGGGAGGTATTTTGGATTAGGATGAACGTTACTGGAAGAGCAGAGCTTTCTTCTGCTTTGGATAATTGCTGCTCTATTTGAGTCAGGAACGGATTTGAACCTGTATCTGTGTTTGACTGTGGTGTAAAGACTCAGAACTTATTTTTTATGAACTGTAATTAATGCATTGACAAAGATTTCTGTATTAAAGTGTTCTCTCTAAATGGGAGGGGGTTGCTGTATTTTTTAAAAAAGAGTATTCCCAGGTGTAGTCAAAACTGCCAAGTTAGCTAGTAAAGAATTTAAGTTACAATGAGCTTGTATTTAAAAAAAGGGGGATTTAAATGATAAGATACTCCATCCCAACTTTTCTGCCACCTTAAAATCCATTTCTTCCCACTTTCCAACCCTTGTGAGCGCTCCAGAATTTTCCAAGGACGGAGAGATTTGAAGCAAGTCTAGAGAACTGCTGTTTCTTCATTATCTTCCTCAGATTCAACTCCCAAACCAGGGAGTTTGGGCTGCCTTTTCTCCTCCAGAATCCCAGTCCTCTGACCTCCCAAATACCTGAACACTTGCAGTGCCTCCCAAACGTCCCCTTTCAGCACTGACTTGAAGTGGAAACTGGAGAAAAAAATGCATCTATTTTATACATCATTTATTATCCCCCGATAATTTATTATTATACATGATTTATTGTTACCCCTGGGTAACAATAATTTATATCTGGAATATAAACAGCTTTCCTTGGCTCCAACAGCCCGGGACAGGTGCCAGCCCCTCCTGCCTGGGAGGACACATCGTTACTCGCTGTGTTTGTGCAGCCTCTTGTTCTGTTATACAAACGTGACATCTGCTGTTAAAAACCCTCCACTGCAAGAGGGGAAAGAGGATAAAAATACATAATTTATTGGTAATCTGCTGTGCAGGAGCCACGGGACCCTTCCCTTGCTCCCAGCCCTAAAGAAAAGCAGTTTATGGTTGGTTTGGGGGCTGGGTCTTTTTTTTTTGCTGTGATGCTGCTCCTCCATCTACCAAAAAAAAAAATCTCTTTTTTCCCCCCCCCGTTGCTTTTCAATCCCTGAATTTATAGAATTAAAGATTTACAGAGTGGTTTGGGTGGGAAGGGACCTGAAAGCTCACCCAGTGCCAGGGGGGACACCTTCCACCCCCCCAGGCTGCTCCAACCTGGCCTTGGGCATTTCCAGGGATGGACAATCCACAACATTCCTGTTCCATCTTCCCACCCTCTTTCCCCTCCCTCCATCCCTCCCCTGCTTCGGTGCCAACAACCCCTTTACCCCCCTTTACTCCCCCCAAACCCAACCCTCGCTGGGCACATCTTCTGGGGGGGCTTCTTACCCACCCCGAGCCATCCCAACAGCCCCGGAATTCCTGCCGATTCCTTGGGATTGTCCCTCTTTCCCCCGCAAATTCCTAACGCTGGCCGTTAGA